AGGGTGCTTCAAATATAGATTCAAAATGTTTCAATCATTCATACTTATACTAGCAGTACTGCAAAAATAGCTGTCTCCAGACCTGCATTCAAGGGGGAAAATGTTTCACATGAAAACATTGTGTATTTCGCTTCATTTTGATTCCAGTTGGATGCCACAATCCTGTGTAGATCTGTTAATATCCAACTACTCGTGGCAAATGAAAGTATCCTGTACAGGAGCATTACAAGGTGCTCTGCATTTCTGCAGACAGACCTGTGGAAGCTACCGATACTAAGGTAGTATTTCCTGTCTTTGCCCATTTTGTGGATCACTTAAGAACTCAGTTATTTCACATTTCATTCCTATATAGAAATAATCTCCCCTTTTGCTAACCTACTTTTTTTTTCTGCTGCATGTGCTCCAGTCATTGTGTCTGACAAAAGTCAAACTCTAATTCAGAATAGTTCCTTTTTTCAGCATGTATGTGCATGCACACATACACATCTGCTCATACCTGCTCTGTCTACTTTTAAATGCAAACTCTTGAGTGCTCTGGAGTAAGAACTTATGAGAATAAAGCAAGGACAACTTGTTCACCTCTCTGCCCTTTTTATACTGCTGGTGTTTATTTTTGTCATATTGGCTTTGATGTGATATTCAGCTGACATGACTGTGTTTCCAATCAGCAATCTTAAATGTAGTGAAACTTGAACTGAAACCTCAAGGAGTTGCTTAATACTTATTGTTCAAAGAAAGCTAACTTTTTCAATAGTTTTCAGTTGGATAAGCTAGAAATAACTCTGAGGTATTCTGCTTCAACAACAAAGAGCAAAAAGTGCTTTTAGCAGAGCCAAGAAGTTTGGTTTAAAATAACTCAGTATGTGGAGGCACAGCATCTTAATTTAGGCAAATGTTAGGGTGGCTCAAGCACCTTACAAGTGTTTTTCTGATTTTCAGGTTTTTCCTAATTCCAGCTTCTGCTGAGTCTAAATTTACTTGCTATTATATTTAAGAGGTGAAGAATATAATCTGCCAGATTTTATTTATAATCTGCAGGCATTTGATTTCCTGCAGGTCCCTGTGAATTACAAAGGCAAGCTCACAGGAGACTCCCGTTCCCTTACTGCAGCAGAGTAGTTTGTACAGGCTGGCAGGCAGAGGAGTGCAGGAAACGGGAGCCTGGGAGCATGGCACATATGTACCCCACACCAGAGTATCCCCCCTGCCTGGGCAGTGCCTCTTCACCTACCTTCTCCTCTCTTTCCTGCCACCCGCAGCAAAGGTGAACCTGATCTCAGTTCAGATGAGTTACTTTGTATTTTTAGCAGTGTGTGAGTGGAAAATTATGATGTTAGAAGTTCTATAGAAGGAAAATGAAGGAGGAAATTATATTTAATAATACACATTGCCTTTAAGTAATAGGCACTGAAGTAAAGTAACTAGTCCTTGACTTGTGACCATTTGACTAGGAATACCTCTGCGCTAGGTAAGCAGTAAGTGTGGTAAGTTCCCAAAGTGCAGGCAGAGGGGATGCTCCAGAGCTGCCTATCTGGAGTAACTTGAGTTATACCATTAGTTACAATAATTAAGAAAGAAATGGTATTTTTAAATCCAGTAACTGTGTTTGCCTGGGCATCTCTTAGTGATTACACCTGATACAGTCTGATATCAGGTGCTAATGAGTGCTTGGATAAATAATTAACTAGGAATGTCAGGTATTGCAGGTATAAACTAGGATGATGTGTCAAAAATTTGGCAAATACTGGATCACCAAACTGCCAGAGGACTCTTTTTTTCCCATTTGCAACAGGTAAAGTCAAGACAGCAGTGCTAAAAAAATGACAAGATATTCTATATGATGCTAAGTCAGGCTGCAGGTGTGGAAAAGCTCCTACGTCACACTACACCATTTTGAAGAGCAGCAAGCGAAGAAGTAAATGAGCAGAAACAAGTATTCAATCAAAATCTTGCAATCTCAAATCCCAACTGTAGGACATGCTGGCCTGTGTCGTGCTTCATTCTTACTTTTCCTTTTGTTTTAATGAAAGATGCCAGAAAATGCAGCGTTGGTATTTCCACAAAGCAGAATGAATGCCCTGGGCTTTCACCCTGAATTTTCTGTCACCACTGCCCATTAGCATGGGGTTAAATAAAAAAGGAGTGATGACAAGCAAAGTATATGTCATATATCATGCAAAAAGAAGTTAAGGACAGTAAGAATAACCAATAAACTTGGAAGCCACAGCATCAAATCCTGGACAAATATTTATATGCATGCATACAAAAGCACATTTTACACAGCTGGAAAGCAGGAAAGATCTTGTTTTTCAAGTTTCTTGTTTTTTGACCTTTGAACCATCACATGGATCCTTTCCAAATGGCAGATATACCCCCTGTAGTTCTTTTAGGAGAATTTTTGCAATTTACACACTCCTGTGCTTGCAAAGCATACTTCTATATCAACTTTGTTTCCTTGGCTGCCTCAGTGGGATGAGAGCCTGCTGGGTATTTCCCTTCAGAATGTGTGAGCAGCATAATAATTGGTACTGGCCAGAAAACAAGCACTTGATTTCATGAAAGTCAGTGAGGTTACTGCATTTGCTTTTCCTCTGCACTAAAACTAAA